CAACTATGAACCCCCACCCCCCGCGCGCGAATCACTGCTCTGGTAGCTCATGTACCCCTATCTGCTATTAATTATCTTCTAATGAAATTTGCATACAAACTTCTTCAGAGCCCTGACCTATCTTGGATATATTGGTACCATTATCGCTACTCGACTACTATTGCCAACAAAACCTCAAAACCTTCTTTCATTTGGAAGACAATTAACACCAAACTACATACTCTACAAAATATCTCCTTTGTGTTCACTAATAACGACCTTTCTACTTTTTTTTGGCTTGATAGAATTGTCTTACCACTTCTGCCTCCATCGAGCTTGTTGTTGTGTTGTTTTTGTTGTACGATTTCGAGCATAGTGACATTGATGCTGAGAGGCACCTCACCCATGGGCTTCCGTTCTCAACCAAGAATGCCTATCGCTTGTCCCGTGCCTCTCATGTTTGGACGCGTTGGGCCTCCACTCCTACCTCCATCGACAACGTGCCCTCCCTGCTTGGCCTCGACAACGACATTTGCCCCCGGTTGCCCTCTTCATCCTTCGGAAGATTTGGGACTTTAGGAACGCAAATGTCTTTCATAGTGAGTCTCACTCGTCTGATGTAACTATTCGAAACATTGTTAGTGACTTTACACTTTGGATATCTAGATTTAGGGATTCGAAGAAGAAGGTTTGACATGTCATGGTGGCAATACCTTGCCTCGCGCTCTATCACATCTCTGTAAGTTGGCCGTTTTTGGCCCTTTTGAGTAATAACCAACATGTGGTTGGATGGTTAGAAGGAGAGTAGTATCCCCAACCTACCAGGGTTCAAGTCCTAAACTTGGCACCATCGATCGCATTTCCTGGATTTATTTCAGAGTGACGATGTGCGTTCAGTGGGAGGAGATGTTCCGATCGACTAGGAAGGCGACTTTGTCAATCTAAAGATGATGTGCCAGCTCACTTTCTCGGAGGTGCTCATAAGGGTAGGGTGCGCGTTCATTCTTTAGGATGACTATATGTGCATATGTATGAGTGTGTGAGTTTGGACTGAGTTAAAAAAAAGCGAGGACCCTCCCCTCCCCCAGGGTAATTGTTCAAAAAAAAACTTTTTCTATAAATCAAATAGGCCGTAAAACAGTGAGGCCAGCCCAATACTGAAGATCCACCAAGGAAGTGGACAGGCCCGCATAGTCCACTTCATCCTTGGTTCCGTCCGAAGTGCGCAGCGGTATAGCGTTCATATCCTCCTAACAAACCCTAGACCCACACCCTCTCACGGCGATCCCGCCGGCGCCGCCGTCGTCGTCGCAGCCGCCGCCGCGCCTGCGAAAGAAAGAAGTCGCTCCGATGGACGACAAGGTGAGCAGTCCGCAACAGCGCTCCAGCGACGCGTCCGAGGTTCTGGGCCACATCCGTGGGTACTACAAGGAGGCGCTCGGCCGGCTACCGGTGAAGGAGATGCCGGAGCTCATCCCCTCGCTCCTCGGCACCGGCTTCTGCTTCGGGCTCCTCGACCCCGTCTCCAACATCATCTTCAACACCGTGTCCAGCAGCAAGGACGACGGCCCCACCAAGAAGATGTCCAAGAAGAGGAAGAGAAGGTCGCAGATCGAGGCAGACCTGCTCGAAGACTCCAGCGACGGCGACGGCGATCTGTTCGAAGATTCCGGCGACGGCGTCGTCCAGCGGTCGCTCAGCGGCCTCGTCACCTTCCTCGTCTGCCGCTTCCGCTACCTACACAGGCGGGAAGCTCTGCGCTACCTGCGGCTGGCCAAGGCTGATCTCGATTTGGCCGCCCGCCTCGTCCAGCTCGACCGTGGGATTACATCGGCCATCTGCTCCTCCCCCCTTACCACCAAGATAGCCCCCTTGACCACCGCCGTCACGGTGGCCCTCAAGTGCGCCGCCACCACTGCGAAGCACCCCTGCCCTTCCACATTCACGGCCACCTGGTCATCCATGTCATCCCCTCCGACTTCAGCACCAGACACCACCGATCGTCTTCAGAAGCTGCTCCCCACTTTACCTCAGCCGGGGCTCGGGCTTGGCCACCTCGATGCGTCTCAGATTCGAACTCTAAGATCGCATCTCACTAGGTGGATGAAATGCAAGAAGGGGATGAAGGTTCCCCTTGAACTAAGAGCATCAATCAGCTCTGTGCTTCTGGATAAAATCCACAGTATCTACCTCGAGGCAATTGCAAACCTTCCAAGGGACGCCTTGTGCGAGCGCCACCATCGCGGCCTCCTCAAGGCTGGTTACTGCTTCGGCCCCATTGATGACCCTGTCTCCAACGTCCTACTCAACACCATTTGGTATGACACTGCATTCCCAGCTCAAGATGAGTTTCTGATAGACATGCTCTGCACTAAAAGCCTTGCACGCTTGGAACAACGGTCAATGGCTGGCCTTGTGACATTTGTTCGTGCCCTATTCCCTGAACTCGCCGAGAATGTCGCCATGTTATATCTACTTAAGGCCAATGCCAACCTTCGTGAAGCCATTTCAAAACTGCAGCTAGAAGATCATCATTTGTCTGGATCCTATAAGAAAGCGTACAAGATGGCCGCTCAGGTAGCATGTCATCCCAACCCAAAAGCGCTACGAGAGTTTGCCCTGTCAACTGCGCCATCAATCATGTCCTCCGTACGATCACTTGTGAAAACCACTGCACACACGTTATCCTCCAGAGAAGTCGGTGACATCTCTGCCCTGTTGGCATCTCTAAGGCCGTCAGTCCAGAAAGTTCCCAAATTGACGCCCTGTGCGTCTAGTTTTGTCTCACGCCGCCAGGCAAGGTTCGAGGATGATCAAATTTTCTTTCGTGACACGGTTGAAGCTGCACTGAGAGAATTTTCAAAGCAATCTGTGGTGGGTTCATTTTCCAATCGATCTTCACTACTGCTAATATGCTCACTGATTTATTACACTGTCTGCCTTGTTGTAGGAGGAGATTGAGTATCAGCTTCATGTTATATGTGGTGTGGATGCACAAGTAACAGAGAATGGGGAGTACGGTTTCTACGACCTCGTAGATGGATACCCATACTGTCATATCAACTTCTATGCAGCACCAAAGGGTTCACCTTCTGAAGCTGGCACAGCCCCAACTCTGTTTTTCGTTGAATGTAGCAATGTTGATGAAGATGAAAATGTGCTGCGTTGTTTTGTGGTAGATCCATCAACTGATGATGGTAAACTTTTCTTGTGCCTGCTTAAGCTTTCTGCATTTATAGATGCTGCTTTACTAGTTTTGCACGCATTCATAAACCAAAACACAAACACTAGGCACTGGTTTTTATGTTTGCTACACCCTCTGTGGATTAAACTACCTAAGAATGAAATGATTGAATGAAATGATTGATTGAAATGGATTGTTAGGCTGTTGTTGTCCTGAAATACCCCTTTTGTGCTATGTGCAGTGGTAGATGCTGAAACTGTTTTATCTATAAGCAAAAGATTTACTTGACTGTTAACGCGAGACACTTTGTCATTTAGAAGGTGGTTTTGGTAAGTTGTGTTGACTTGCAGCTAATTATCGTTTCTTGTTTTGCTCTGTAAAAGGCCGTTGTTACCACTGTGAGTATAGAGGGACCAGACTTGTGCATCCTTCTTCTGGAACATACCATGGGTGTGATGCAGAGTTTGAAGAAATTGCTTCTGATGGATATGGACTCACCATTGATGAACTTATCTACCATGGGATGCGCAGAAGTGAGTTTATGGGCTGGTTGCCTGAAGAGGATTCAATCTATTTTGATCCACGATGGGACGTAAAATTTGCCCATTATATAAATGATGCTGCTAAGCCAGGGAGAACACCTGTTCAGTCAAACGGGCTGATCGCACCATAATACTTTTTTTGGGGGTTGTGCTGTCAAACTTCAAAATGTACATTTAGTATTTTGAAGTATGTATGCTGTGGATGCATGTTATATATAGTAATGTCGATATGTTCTTGTTATTGTCATATAATTGTTGCTGAACTTGAAACATTCAGACTTTTTAACGATGTGTCATCATCTTGTTTTGCTATAGCAGAAGTGATAACTGGTTAGCAGATTGCAGGAACACAAAGAGTTCTTTTATGCACTGTGTTGTGAGAACAGTAATCCCACCTGGTGATCCTATTTAGCCCATCAAAGCATACACTAAGGCCCAAGAACATAAGTTGTCTCCGTGATCTATGAACTCTTCCCTCTACTAGTTCACTGTGGGCCTATGGACCAAAGATTTTATCCTGCATCTACTGCCTTAATGGCAGTTCTTTTTTTTTTTTTTGTCATTTGTCAAGGATCCATAGCCTATATAAACCCTCCATCAGAATAGGAGAAGTTTGGAGAGGGTGTCGAGGTACAACTTACCCTACTACCAAACCTCCCTCCATGCCTTTTAAACATTGGACTAGGTAGTACTCTATCGAGAAGTCTGAATCTATGTTCTAAGAGTGTCGAATTTGCTAGTGCATGACAAACTTCGCTCTAAGGTTGTTTGTTTAGTTGGCTAAGGCCGTTATACATACGCCCAATTAGTCTTTGTTGCGATCATGTTACCAATGATACTGCCTTGAGCCCTAATCTGTAGTTGTTTCCACAACAACAACAATGATGCCTTGGCCAACCATTGTGTGAAGGCGCAATTGCCGAAGCTACATAGCCCCACACAAGCAAGTTTAGGCTGAAGGCGAATCACCGCTCACAAAATAAAAGTGTCGCCACCAGAGTATTAGAGATAAAAGGCGAATCATCATCCAAGTAACATTGGATGCATATGAGCATTGGTGAAGCCTCCCCAAGCCACACCGGGTGGCACTGAAGTGCCGCCACACAAATACAAGCTTCAAATGTCTCCGGCGAGGGGACACCCGGCCATTCAACCAATTTTGGATGAATCACATGGCTTAAAGGGAGTCTGGACCCGTCGAGCCCAAACCTTTGA